ACCAAGGCTAAAGCTATGAAATAGAGAAATTACAGAAATACCTGTTATTCTTTGATTCCTTTCTGTCAGTGTTCACAATTAAGAGTGTTTTGGATAACTATTTCTCCCAGTTTTGAGCCAAGAAGAATGATTCTAGCACAGGGCTTAAGAACTAGGCTCAGCATCTCTAGAGGTAAAAGACTACTGAATATGAGTTGCAGAAAAATGTCTTCAGTTTGAATCTCAATTTGACACATCAGTAACTATTCTTTCCAGGAAGGATCACTGTGCCTCTCTCATTTGTTTCAGTCTTAAAATAACAAATTGTTCTGAAGTCAGATTGACAACATGTCAATCTTAAGAAAGCCAGAGTTCAGGTGCAACTTATAGGTGGAGGACTGGCAGAGAACCAATGGTAGAATCCCTGTTAGAGAGGCTAATCTGCTGAAAGTAAAATGAGCTCCTGTAGCCACATTTAAATACCTTAAGCTTGTATTTAAAGATGCAACTTGCACAACACTGAAAACTAAAAAGAATAGTTATAGCAGCTGTTGTTTCAGCCTTAGAAGCAGTGACAGTAATGAGAACATCATACTTGTCTAGTCCAATAAAACTCTTGTTTATCTGTGTTTTGTGTGGGCAGCCAAATAAACTAATAATGGGGAAGGAGAGGAGGCATCACTATAGTCTAAACACTCTGTAAATCTACTGTGGTTTATTTGCAGAGCTAAGACATAATAACAACTTTAAAATGACCCTAAGGAATCACAAGGAGTTCTACAGTTTATTTCTAGTAGCAAATAAAAGCAAACACTCAAGACTTCCATGGACCTACTTTTAAGTTGAAAAACCAAGATGCTGAATGTGCTGTAGAATGGGATATGGATTAGATAATAGCTAAATTTTCAATGGCTTGACCAAGCAATGAGTGTAGCTAGAAAGCCATGCTGAATTATTCCAATTTATTTGGGCAGAAATAATACCTTAATCTTAATTTTATAGCTAACAGCACAGAATAAGTCTGATCCTAGATATTGCTAACATTTTATTCTGAACATGAACCATGGACTCCATCACTTTTGGAGAAATATATTCTATTTTACAATAGTATGTGTGTGATATAACGAAGATTTAAAAGATGTAAACTAAACTTTTACGCTTAAATAGAGATGGTTGTTGTAAAAGGGAACCTTTAAGAAAACTTCAAGATCAAAGGCAACAAAGCAATGTGAAATAACCAGTTATAACTTCACTACCAATGTGAAATAACCAGTTATAACTACACTCTTCATAAGTAAGTTATCTAGCTGGGTGTGTTGGCTCACATATATAATCCTAGCTACTGGGGAGGAGGATCCCAATTTAAGGCTAGCCTCATGAATTTAGTGAGATCCTGTCTCAAATAAAAAATTAAAAAGATCAGGGATATAGCCTGATGGTAAAGCACCCCTGGGTTCCATCATAGTACCCAAAACAAAACAAAACAAAACAAGGTACCTCATCACTATCAACACTTTTTTAATAGTAGTATTGGTAAGGACACTGTTATGAATAAAATATCCTTTGGTATGATTTGGACCTAAAATGTCCCCCCAAAATTCATGTTTAAAGAGGTGGTCCCCAAAGCTGCAGTGTTCAGAAGTGGAGCCTTTAAAAGGTGATTTGATCACTAGGGCTCAGACTATGTTGGATTAATAATTTAATGGACTATTGGGAGGTGGTGGGTCTTTGAGGGCATGCCTTTGGGGCTATATTTTGTATCTAGCCTCTTTCTCTTGTTCACATTCTCTCTCTTTCTTTCCCAACCATCAGGAGGTGAGCAGCTTTGATTCACCATACATTCCCTGCCATGATCTCCCTCACCACAAGCCCAGATACCAAAGAGCCAAGTGACGATGGACTGAAACCCCTGAAACTGTGAGCCCAAATAAAACTTTCTTCATTTAAGTTGATTTTGGCAGGTATTTTGGCAGGTTAGTGACAGGTGACTAACACATCCTTTTATGCTAAATTATGTGTAAAATTACCTACAGGAATTGCTCTTCCATTACTTTGACTTCTCCATGTAGAATAGTCTAAAGACTTTTAAGTTTGTTCTTTTCTCTTTCTCCATAAACTTCATATAACCAGCAGGTGAATTCCTGTTGTAAACTTAATTGTGATGGGCAGTCCCAGTTTAGTCTTTCCCTAGTCTTAAAACTTGATTCAGGCTGTGGTTAGGCCACTTTCACAGCTGCACCCAATGTTTCACTTACACACATAAATAATTTAACTCTTTGGTAACTCAGAATATCCATTATGAAAACTTTAAAAAATACATTAAGAAAATCCCTTCAGTTTGTCCTATAATCTTGTGGTCTATTTTTACTAATATGTATTTTATTGGTTTCAAAGAGAAAGAAAATAGTGTACAATATTCTACATGATTTTTATTTTTATTTTATTTGTTCTAATTAGTTATATATGACAGTAGAATGCACTGTGATACATCATACTTAAATGGAGTAATTTCTCATTCTTTTGGTTGTACATGATGTAGAAGCCCACTGGTCATGTGGTCATATATGTACACAGGGTAATAATGTCTGATTTATTCTACTATCCTTCCTATCCCCAGTCTACATGCTTTGCAAAAGTCTGAGAAATCATATATGAAATTGTAGACTCCCACCATCTGGAACTCATTTTGAATACTTTGTATGTCAATATGGAGGTTTATCTTTCACATTGGAACACAGCTCCCACCCCTTTTCCAGTTGCAGCAAGTAAAATTGATGGCCTCTAATCCCAAATATATTAGTGGTCTACTGAACCAAGTTAACCTTTCTAAAGTGAATATAGCTCTCTATTTTAAAGAAAGGAAAATGGTGTCTAGAATACCACTGTCCAGTAGAAATTTCTGTCATGGGAATGTTTTATTTACAGTGTCCAATAGGGTAGCCAGTAGCTACCTATAGCTATAGAGCCCTTCAAAAGTAGGTAGCATGGCTAAATAACTAAGTTTTAAAATTTGATTTAGTTAAATATTCACACACATTGGTTTAGCACAGGTCTTGTAGGCCCTTAGAACATTCTAGGAAGTGTTAGAAGTGGAAGGCCTATCATGGACAATCTAAGAAACTTAAGTTATCATCAATGTTTTAAAAACCTTGCCATTCCTTCAGTATAAATTTTTCCAGAAGTTTCACATTTCAAAAAATAAGCCCAAACCAACCAAATTCATTAGGCTGCTTCTCTGTATGAATCATCCTTTTGCAAAGAGGTGTAAGACTGATTTTATTGCCAGCTCTGCCCCCTCTTCTACAGACAGAACTCAGTGATTAGATTCTGCATTTATTTAGGTTATTCTCCTGAAAAACCTGGTTTCCATACTGCAAATAAATGACAGGAACTTTTCCACTAGATTATCCCAGACAGCACAAATGTTCTTTCCAAAAGTGGAGATTGGAACCACAGCCCCCTCATGTTGCCTGTTACATCTGTTTATGATTATTGACATGACATACATGTTGTAGACAGAGAATGGCAATATCTTGGGAAAGGACTGAGAATATGGTGATGCTTAAAGAATAGGAAAAAAAAAATTCTCACTGTTCACAATAAAAGATCCATAGAATTGAGTAGCTAGAAAGTCCTTTTGAAATTGAAAGATTTTGTTCCCAGAGTATATAGATTCTGTGTACAGACTTGCCTGGGCTCAGACCCAGTAATAGTCATTTTTAGCTAAGACAGCCTTGGATAAGTTACAAATCCTAACCCTCAGTTTTCCCATCTGTAAAATGTAATGATCTGTTGGAGAAAACCTGCAAAAGACCTTGAAATGGGGACATCACTGTAGGTACAAGTGCTTTCAGATGGATGTCAGCTCCAGGAGTTTGGAGTTTACTGGTTCCAATTTGTACCTCTTACTAGGCTATTTCAATACTTAGTCAACTTAAGAAACTCACAGTGATGTAAATGATTCTTATCTATAAAAATGCAAATTTTGACTTAGAGGTAACCATTGGTTGCCGCCCTATAGAACAGATAAGGTACCCCTCCCTTATCTGCTGTTTTGATTAACCTGGTTTCAATTATCCTTACCAGCAGTCAAACATGATCTGAGAACATTTACTGAAAACTTCTAGAAACAACTTTTAAGTTTTAAGTAACTTTTATTACAGTATATTGTTAAAATTGTCTTTTGCAATGCACCTAATTTCTAAATCAAGCATTATCATAGGAATGTTTAGGGAAAAAAACCCCAGTATATGTAGTGCTCAGTACTCTGTCAGGTTTCAGGCATCCACTGGGGGTTTTGGAATGTATCCCCAGAAGATAAGGAAGGAGCTATTGCAATACGAAACATTACATTTCAGTGTGCTTCATAGATTAGGCAGTTTTGCCTCTTTCTTGATTGCCTGTAGATATGTGTTCTTCACATTTTCATTTGAATGAGTTGCAGTATATTGCTGGTTCCCTCCCTAGTTACCGAGTCAAATTAAATTTTTGACCTGTGCTCATTTTATATTTCTATAGGAGTCATGTTTTGTACCTTCTTGATACAACAAGCCTATGGGTCAGAACCTTGAGATTGGTTTAAAGGTTCATATTGGCAGTCTTGATCCATTTTATATTTTGCAGGCAGGTATAATACTTCTGACATTTTGGGAGATGGAGAGGGAAGGACTAGCACTTATAAAAGGGTTCAAGCCAGAGCGGGTAGGCTGAAAGCCTCTTCCCAACCAAGAAAGTCAGAAGCCTTCCTTACCCCTTTCCTTTTAGCAGTGGAATCCTAGGATCAAGATGGGTAGTATACTGTCCAGGCACAGTGGCTTAGATAGAGGTCTTAGACAGAGTGGGGCCCTAGGTCTTGGTCTTCCAGACAAGGGCAGTGGCCTAGATTGGATGCCTTGGGGGACATGGAGTTAACTGCCCATGAACCAGGGGCCATAGTACCGGTTGCCCAAACCCAGTTCCGGAACCGACACGGGCCAGGCTCCGGAAGAGCAGGCCTTGTCCCAGGCCAGAGAGGCCCCTCGCCCACGGCCGAGGGGGTGGGGCGGCCTCGCCTCGGGCCGGTGCTTTTCGCCCTCCGTTGGCCGCCAGAGGCTCCCTCTCTCTCTCCCTCTCCTGGGATTTTGCTGCTGGGTTCCCTCTTTCTGCGGCCCTAGAGTTAATCCTATCAGCCGAGGTGAGGCACCTGTTACCCCGGGCCTTCCTTGCCCCGGCGGCCTGTCCTCCATTATACCCCGGCCTCCCCCACTGGCCCGAAGGCCCGGTGTGGGTGACCCTGCACGTGGGCCAAGCCCCTTCCCGGCCGGCGACCCCGACCCCAGGCCGGCCCGAGTGTGCTAGCGCATCGGTGCCCAGCCGCCACCGCCCGCCCGCAATGGCGTTGGGGAGCGCCGAGCGCCTCCTGGGGCCGCCCGCCGCGGTCAGGGCGCGCGTGGGGGCCGGGGCGAGGGTGGAAGCGGCCGCCGTAGCCCTCCGTGCGGCGCCGTGAGGAGCGGGTGGTGGGCACCCAGAGGGCCGGCGCCGATCAGCCGCGGCCACCGCGGGGCGGGGGGCGCAGTGAGCTGGGTGGGAGCGCGCGGCCGACCCTCCCGCCCGCGGCGCTCCCGCTCGGGTAAGGGGGAGGCTGTGCGCGGGGCGAGGAGCTGGGGAGGGAGGAGATGAGCAGGAAAAATATCGGCATGTACAAAGGCTGAGTTGCAGGCTGGGGGTGGGGGTGGGCTGTGGTTGGGGAGCGAGAGGTTGAAGGATCCGAGGCATTATCAGTGGGATCTATTGTTTCCTGGCACATTGGGAGGAAAAACAAAGGGATTTATTATCATTACCCTATAATTTTCTTTCTTTCTTTTTCTTTTTCTTTTTTTTAAATGTGGCCAGGGAGCTCGTCTCTCCCATGCCACACTGGGATCCGCCTGGCAGCCGCTGGGAGCCGCAGCCAATGTGTTAGGACTTCAGGTGCTTCTTGGCACAAAGCTAGACTGCGACCTCCTACCATAGCGCTTGGCGTCACCTGCTCTCCCGGCCCTGCCCCGGGGCCGAGGGATTGCGTCCCGAACCAGGCTTGGGAATCCGCTGCCTCTCAAGTTGGTGTTATTTATGTTTGTCTTTTGTGAGGGCAGGTTTTGAATCCCCAGCGGCCCCATCGCCCCCGCCTCCGCCCCCTCGGGCTCGAATTGGCGGGGGAGGGAATGGGGTGTGTGAGTGGGGAGAGGGGAGGGTGTTTATGGCCTTTAAAAAAAATGTCAGGGTAAAAGGAGATTGTCGATGCTTTACAAAAAAAAAAAAAGAAAGGGGGAAAAAAAAACTGGCACCACACTCTTCAGCCTTTCTTGTTTGTCTGCATGGGCCATGCATGCATGCTGGGCCAGGAAACGAGTTCTGAGACGATTTAAGTGAAAGTGTGTGCTTCCTCAACTGATTGTGCGTGAGGGTGATGTGGTTCAGTCTAATATTAAAACAAAACAAAACAAAAACAAAATGAAAAATCTTTAGAATGGTATTGTCTGCTCTTCAGCAGATCTTGAAGTATTTGATTGCTAGCATATTGATATAAAATCCAGCTGTGGGCTAGAGACCAGAAAGCATGCATTGCTGTTGTGTTTTGAGTTTGTAATAAGTTAGAGGCAAGAAGGAATAAACAAATCAGGGCTGGGAGAAGAGATGTCATGGTATATTTGCTTTCTGATTGTCACATTCTTATGCATTCATTCCGGTGATGTCTACGTCCCACTCCATAATTATATATCCTCTGTTAGAAAACTTCCAAATATTGGCTATAACTGAACTTAGAGTGAAACTTATTGACATTCAAGAACTTCTTTCTTGTTTTGTTCTGAAATTGCACTAGTGTCACTTTGGGGATGCTGTAGATGAGAATATTGGACCAGAGAGACTGAAATAAGCCAATGTGGCATGTTCTGAAGTTTGTAAACATAGATTCCAAACTTTTAACTGTACTTAAAGTAAGTTCTACCTGAGTATGGATAATGCCAAATGAAATTAATTTTTCTAGACAGTTTGATGATTTCTTAAACATACTTGAATTGCCTGTTTCTTTTAGGGTCATTTGCAAAAGCATCCAAAATGGGCTAAAATATTGTTTTCAAATGTACTTAAGTGTAATGTGGGTGGGGAGGAGGTGAGGGGGGGAGAGAGGGAGGGGAGTTCCATAGGGATCTCCAAATTGTGCTTGATACATTTTTGTTACCAGACCAATAAGAATGATAACTTTTAACTTTTTGATTTTTAACTTTCCATTTCAGTAAATAATTTCTTCTGCTTGATATGTGGCTAAACCACTTGGACAATAAAGTGTGTATTAGTTGACTAAACATAAATTCAAGTACATGGATTCAGAAATTCATTCTTTTCTATTACAGATGAACCTCTAGTCTTGCTTTGAAAAAGCCATTTTGTGTAACTATTGACTGAATAATTTCCTAATACATTTGTTGGGACGATCACTGAGAGTATGCCACTTGAGCGGCCCTTTTCTTGACCAAATACTGGTGATTAGAGAAGAGAGTTTTTTTTTTTTTTTTTTTCCCCCTTGATCATTATGAACATTGGCTTTTCACCCTTGAAGTAAAAATGTTGAAAGCTGAGTCTTCAGGTGAACGAACCACTCTGAGAAGTGCCTCTCCTCACAGGAATGCATATAGAACTGAGTTCCAGGCACTGAAAAGTACCTTTGACAAACCCAAGTCAGATGGGGAACAAAAAGCAAAGGAAGGGGAGGGCTCCCAGCAGAGCAGGGGGAGGAAATATGGCTCCAATGTCAACAGAATTAAAAACCTGTTTATGCAGATGGGTATGGAACCCAATGAGAATGCTGCAGTCATTGCCAAAACCAGGGGGAAAGGTGGACCTTCATCCCCTCAGAGAAGAATGAAGCCCAAAGAATTTCTGGAGAAAACAGATGGCTCAGTTGTTAAATTGGAGTCCTCTGTATCTGAACGAATTAGTAGATTTGACACAATGTACGATGGCCCTTCATATTCTAAGTTCACAGAGACCCGAAAGATGTTTGAGAGAAGTGTGCATGAGTCAGGGCAAAACAACCGCTATTCCCCAAAGAAAGAAAAAACTGGGGGGAGTGAACCACAGGATGAGTGGGGTGGTTCCAAGTCCAACAGAGGCAGTACTGATTCCTTGGACAGCCTTAGCTCCCGGACCGAGGCTGTCTCCCCAACGGTGAGTCAACTGAGTGCAGTATTTGAGAACACCGAGTCCCCCAGTGCCATCATTTCTGAGAAGGCTGCAAACAATGAATACTCAGTGACTGGGCATTATCCTCTGAATTTACCATCTGTTACTGTTACAAATCTTGACACCTTTGGCCACCTTAAGGATTCTAATTCTTGGTCTCCATCGAACAAACAAGGGGTTGATACAGAGGATGCTCAGAAGAGTAATACAACTCCAGTACCAGAAGTGGCTCCTAAAAGTACCTCTCTAGCTTCGTTACCTAGTGAAGAGATACAGCAGAGCCAGGAAGCCGAGGACTCCATATCTAACCAGGAGACTCCGGACAGAATTGACAAAGATATTCCTGAAGAGCCTTGTGCTGAAAATAAGGCAATGCCAAAGTCTGATATCCTTTCACCCCAAAACCAACCTTTAGGAGAGGCTGAAGCTAATTCTGTTGGAAGTGAGGCAGCAAAGCAACAGAGGAAAGAACTTGCAGGTGGTGATTTCACCTCTCCTGATGCTTCTGCATCCAGTTGTGGAAAAGAAGTACCTGAAGACTCAAATAATTTCGAGAGTTCCCATGTGTATATGCATAGTGACTACAATGTGTATAGGGTGAGATCCAGGTATAATTCAGACTGGGGAGAGACAGGCACTGAGCAGGATGAGGAGGAAGATAGTGATGAGAACAATTACTATCAGCCTGATATGGAATACTCGGAAATTGTTGGATTGCCAGAAGAAGAAGAAATCCCAGCAAATCGGAAAATTAAGTTTAGTAGTGCTCCAATTAAGGTAAGTTTGTTTTCTAAGTTTTTTAGTGTTGTGGCCTAACTATGTAGAATAGATGTGACAACTACTAGAAGTTTTTTGTAAGGAATTCAATAGTGTCGATGTGTACACCTGTTGGCAGGTGATTTTAAAAGTTTCGGTTTGGAGAAAGATCACATTTCTTAATGTGCTTTGTAGTGGCATAAACTAGTATTGAATGATATGAAAGTTGAAGTTTGTGAGGTACATTCCACTGGATTGGAGTATGAACAATAGAAGCACTGAAAATCAGGAGTGTCAGTTTGAAACAGAACTGCTTTAGCAAGTGTCACTTAATGTTGTCTCTAAATAATAACCTGAATCTACGCACCATAAGATATGAGGTATAAGGTACATTGGGTGAGTTATGGTAACCTTGAAATCTCTTTATTTACTTGCTTAAAAATATCTGAGCTATTACTTACTTAAGTGTAAGTGGATTGTGAAGAATGTTGGAACTTTTTTTCATTGCTGCGTAGTAGTGAAAATTTGATTTATGGAAGCATATTAGTTGACTGAAATACTTTCATTGAAAAGCTATGACTGTAAACAGATTTGATTTCAGAATTTGTTGTATAGCTCTAAAGTGAAATTTTGTGAAAAAAAAGCAAAATTGATTTGCCATTCATGGATTTAGTTTTACCTCTTAAAAACTGGATAAATGCCAGTTGAATTCAGAAGCTGTATTCTAATGACTTCACTTAGTTAATATTTGGTATAAGAAAATAGCACAAAGTACATCAGCAGCGGGTATTGGAACATTATAACATTATTAGTGGATAATGGCAGCAGGGGCAGGAGGTGGTCGGTTGAGTATCAGAATCCCCTGGAGTGCTTATTCAAAGTGTGCTTGCCCACCAGCTCAGTACTCAGATTCTGGCATGCTCTCCTTGGGGAATCTGTGGGGGTGGTGTGTAGGGGGAGTGTTATGGTGGCAAATGTGTAGTTTGAAACCACTTTTTAGGGGCTCCTAGCTTACATCCTGTGTATATATGATAGATTTGGAGTTTGGTGTCATATATTTTAAAAATTTCTCCTGAAAATCTAGAATCGCTGTTATTTCTCTTTATGAACTTCCATATATAGCCATAAGATATAGAATTTACATAGAAATACCCACAGAGAAGTCTGATTGCTTTAGTTATGAAATGCTATTTTGAAATAAAGTCATATTTTATTAACTTATTTTCAGCTGTTGGGAGGCAAATTTTCATTTTAATAGTGTAAGGCATTAAGTTCTGGATCAGAATGGATCATGTCAACTTAAACTGTTTGAAATAAACTTGAATCGTGAATCTAGTTTGAAAGTAAGCTAAGTAGGGTGCTTATCCACCTGCCAGTGTTCTTTTCTTTCCTTCCCATTCCCCACTCTCCTTCCACTTCTAGGCACTGTCCTCAAAGGCATCCTTCCCTAAAGCCTGTCCAGTGAGCACCCAAATTTCACCATTCATGCCCCCTTTGAACATGGTCTTTCTATCCTTTAGGAAGAAAGCAACAGGATTAAATCATTTCACAATGGGCAAAGCAGGAATAACTGAAATAAACTCTTCAAGGAGTTTGTTAAAGCCAGCAACTGACTTTTTAATAGGGGGATAGCAGTTTATGAACCATTTATTAAGTAGAACATTAACCACTCAACTCTCTGGGATGCTCACTGTGTATTTGGGTCCTGTGCTGCACAAAACATAACTGCATGATATTAGATTTTAATTGACTTTAAAGGATTTATCATTGAAATATGTCTGTTCATATCTGGGAAGAAGCCAGCTTTTTGGGTACGATATTTTGAAAGTCAAGTGCTTTTTGCTGCTTTTGCTCATAATAGTGTTTTACCTCTTAATTTTCATATAATAAATAAATTGGATTTCTGAATAGATGGAATGAAAATAGATTATGTGCATTTAGGTTTAATACATTTCATGAACTTAGATCAAGCTTATGAAGCAAACATAACGCCCTGCGTTTTATCAGGCAGTTAACAGGACTAGTTGGAGTGGATTAAGTTTTCAAACAGAAGAGTCATTATTAGCCCTTTTGTAATGAATGAGACAATTACTCTTTCTTGTTTCCGTTGTTTGACATGCAAGTAGATTCACTTGGAAATTTTGAAAACTGCTTTCTGTTGGTGATGGTGGTAGCATTTGGTTATTCTCCAAATAAGATTTTTTTTTTTTTTTTTTTTTGCCTCCGAGGGTGGTAATACTTAATTAAATTTAACAAGTATTTTGGGAAGGCTTATCATATGTGATCTTTCATGCTGCTAGCTGCAGAAGACAGAAAAATCTACAAGGTTAGCCCTTTGCTCTGTGACCTTATAGAGGCAATTCTTAAACACATTATATTTAAAACCCATATAAGAGTGTACAAAACTGTGTCAAAATGTCTAATGTCTGGTGTGTTCTTTAGCAATACATGGATATATTAAATGCGCAGAGTGAAAGGGATTTGATAGATTATTTGGAACAGAGTATATTCAGCTACCCCTGTGTGTGTTTCCTTATTCTTTTCATAAAGCTTTATGGAATGGGAAATTAGGATTTCCAAACAAAATCTTTTCCTTTGAAATTTAAACATACTTTGGAAGCAACATGGTACACATATTCTTTATGGAAATGATTTTTGAAACTTTTATGTTCTTTTCCTGATATTTTATTCCTTACTCAGTAAAATAGTCCCAACATCTTTAGTGTTTTTGTAGTTCTTATTTATGATCTTTGCATGTGTGAATTGTCCTCGGTGTCTAGTTCACTTCTTTTAAAGATATTACCATAATATGTCTTCAATCTGGACCTAGAAAAAGAAAATAATAGCTGATCTTTCCTGGGTAGCATAGTCCCAGTACTTGTTAATGACTTAAAAATAGTCAGATGATATTGTTGGCCAGCAGTTAGTATAACTTCCCTCTGTTTCATGGGCACAGTTCTCTCTTATCGGATAAGTTGATGTCATGGAATATTCAAATGGGATTAATAATAGAAAATGTAAAATCCTCCTTCAAGATATGGACGGGAAGGTGTTATGAATCGAATTAGTTTGAGATGTGGAATTATGCTTTCGTTTTCAGGAATTTCTCAGAGACAAGGGATTGAATTAAAGTAAATGTGTCTAGAGGAATCAAGGATAGACAGAGTGACATTTGTCATTATTTTTTCTTTTACTCCAGAACAGTTACTGAGCCCCTCATAGGTACCAGGAACAATGGGATGTACTGTAGCCTTCCCAGTTAGGAGTCCCTGCTAGGTGGGAGGAGTGTAAACCATGAACAAGGCTTTTCAGGCTCATCTCAGTTCTGCTCTTGGATGACCCTTCTGAGGTTACTGTTGCCTCATGAAGGAAATCATAACCCTTTCACTGTTACTGATAGTCTTTAGATTGGTATTCTTGAAATATAGCGTTTTCTGAAAAAGTAGATTTTCTTTACTTCCAGGAAGGAGGAGAGTGCAGAGTTATTGTTGCTGTGCGTTGTGCTGTACTGGAGTGTTTTCTCAAACTATACAGAGCTTTAGAGACCTAGAGTTCAAAGGAGGACCTACAAGCAAAGTAAGGCTTCTTTAAACCTGCGCGATAGCTGTCAAATATGGATCTCTTTGTATTCTCTCCCACTTTTGGGGCTCCCAGTCTCTTCCTGGTATGTGCAGTCTTTTATTTAAGATGGTATTCTGAGCATAGTTTTTCTGAGATCCAACTTTTTATCTTTGTGGAGGCTTCTTTTTCTTACAGTTTTGTCAGTGCTTCTTAAATTTTAATATGCATATGAATCACTTGGGGATCTTGTTAAAATGCAGATTCTGTTTCAGTAGGTGTTCTGTGGGAAATTACCTTCATGCAAAGGTTAGCCTCCAAATACAGTACCAGTCAAGCACTCAGAGGTTATTGAATAGAAGCATTCAGCACTCAAATTACAATGCTTGAATCTCTCAATTTATCAAATAAATTTAACGCACAAATCCAGAAACAAGAACAAAACCATGGAGTGAGTTAGTTAACACACTTAGATAAGGTGCAAAGTTGGTAGGACTCTACTGCCTGCTTCCTGGCTACATAGTGTTCACCTCCCCTGTCTCTCTTTCCCATTCGTCTTTTCTATTGGTGGTGTGGTTATGAGGACCAGAGTTAATATTTGGGCCAAGATTACACTGATTAATGATGTGGTTCCAGAATGGGACCATATTGAGAATCCTTAGTGGATGGCTTGATATGGAGGTGACATCCATCCGAAATAGAAGGCATAATGTCAGTTCAGACATGGCATAATGATGAATTAGTCTTTTTATCCCTTTCTATTAGTAATCTTTTTTTTTTATCCCCATTGTATCTTTTAAAAAAAAATTTTTTTAAGTTACAAATGGACACAATACTTTTTATTTTGTTTATTTTTATGTGATGCTGAGGATCAAACCCAGTGCCTCACACGTGATAAGCAATCGCTCTACCACTGAACCAAGACCCTAGCCCTCCCATAGTATTTTATTCTATTTTTGCAATGTCATTTGGGCTACTAACTTACCTATTTGTAATATACATATATTGAATTCTGCCTTCATCTCACCAGCTTCCATTCTCAGGTATCTATACTTAACTTGTGAGTGTTGCCTTTTCCTCAGAAGCTGTAAGCTTGCTTACCATCATTTAAATTGATCACTCCGTATGAGTTTCATTTATTGCATTTGTTTCTGTTTTTCTTTTTTCCTTTTATTATTATTATTTTTTTCTGAACCCAGGGCCTTGCATATGTACTATATAAGTGCTTTACCTCTGAGCTACACCTCCAGGCCCCATTTGTTTTCTTGACAGAATTTAATATCCTCAAGTAATATAGCAAATTCATGGAACAGTAGGTCTGGAGTGGGGCCTGAGATTCTACATTTCTAACAACCTCTTAAGTGGTACTGATGCTGTTGGTCAACAGACCCCTTTTTGGACCAAGAGTTTGAAGCATAGTCTTCTGACTTCTGAAAGGGTTGGTTTGGTTTAAAGAAAGACTT